AAGGTATAATAGATAATGTGAAATAGGAAGAAAAGGGCCAAAGGGGAAGGGGAAGTGGGAAGGGTAGGGGAAAGGAAAGAAGGAAATGGAATTATTATGAGAAAATGAAAAAAATGGAAATAAATTTTTTGTAAATAGGAAGGGATGGAGGATTGAAGGGAGGGCAGGGGAAGGGGGAAAAATAACCAAGAGAGACTATGTAAAGGTGCAATTTTCCAACGATGAATGTCATTATATTGTATACCTAAAATGTACCAATAAAATAAAATTTGAAAAAAATGAAAACTAAACTGAATTAAAGGTAGATAGAGGATTTAAATAGACATTTCCACAAAGAAGACATAAAAATCACCAACAAGTACCTGAAGAGGTACTCAGCAGACCCCACGAGATGTGTGGCCTCTCTGTGACCAGGAGGGTGTCCTGTACTGTATCTGTGTAGCAGAGGCACCTGTGGCCAGAGTGCTATTGCTATGAGCTTGTGAAGATGGTGCAGTGGTGAGCAGCAGAGAGTGGGCCTCTCTGAAACTTGTTGTTGTTGAAAATTGAAACCCACTGGAAGAGTGAAGACAGAGCAGACTACAGCAATTGATGAGTGGCTGTGACCAGCATCTCCTACTGGACCTGGACATGCTACAGGGGAAGGGCAGCTCAAACCTGTGGTAGAACCTTGTAGAGTTCTAATCCACCGGAAGTCAGGGAGCTCAATTCTGGCCTCACAGCCAGAAACTAGCCTGAATCTCACTGGACTACAGCTAGTTTGCTGAGATTAATCAACTTAGCTCTGCATGCTACTGTCCACATTGTATACCAGCAAAAGCAGAGTCACTCCTTGAAGGGGACTTTTTTTTTCTTTCTTTTTACTTTTCTCTTACTTCTCTTTTCCTTTTTTTAATTTTTCTTTTTTCTTGTTTCTGTTTTTATCCTATTTGATTATTCTCTTGATTGTTCTTATTGTTTAAAGAGTGTGAATACAGTTTCTACTTTTCCTTTTGCTGTTAGTTTGTTCTGTTTTTGTTTGTGCTCCTCTCTTCTTTCTTTCCCTCCTGTCTTCATCCGTTTCCCAAAGTTTGCATGAAACTCCTGTGTCCTCTAGTCCTACTTCTAATCTCTCCTTCTATTTCTCTATACACCTCTCAACTCCTTCTACGTCTTCTTCCCAGAGGGTAGGGTTGTATATTGAAAGGCTTACTAGCTGTAAACATATTTCTTGTTGTTCCTTGATATTTATACATAACCACAAGTCTAGTTTATGAAGTTAAAAGTGTCAGAATAATAGCTACCACAATTTGTCATTTTCTAAACTGTGCTTAATGCTATTGTTGTTGCTTAAAGGCCATTACAGGCTCAAAACCCAAAGGTCAACTATACCAGGAAGACAATCCAAGAATAGCCATTCCCTAAGGGCTCTAAATACTAGCACTAAAGATACTTGCAACAATTGAGCTGGGGATGTAGCTCAGTGGCTCAGCATCTGCCTGGCAAGCTCAAGATCATGAGTTTTCTCTCCAATACCAAAACAAACAAACAAACAAACAAAAGATACTTGGAATAAACAATTTATAAGTAGCAGATTAAACCAAAAACTTCAACAATAACAAAAAACAGAAATGAGAAGACACTTAAATGAGATGCAAACCCAGACTTCTCAATCACCAAAAGGAAATCCAGGGGGTGAAATGGAATAATCCAAAACTCAACCACCTGGACTCACTGAACTGGCAATGAAAGAGGATCCGGAAAAAATGAAATCAGAAATAATTTCTCAGATAACAACAGAGATGGTGACCATAGTGAAGGACATGATTAATAACTCTAGAGAAAACACAGATTAAAAAAAATAAATAGAGCAGCTCAGGAACATGATGGAATCCCAACATAGGAAACAAATGGAATCCATAAAACAGATGCAAACAGATTTCCAGGAGATTTAAAAACTCCACTGAGGGCCAAGGATTTAGGTCAGTGGCACCCCACCTGCCTTGCAAGCACAAGGTCCTGAGTTCGATCCCTAGTACTGAAAAACAAACAAACAAAAGAAAACTCCACTGAAAGTTCACCCAGAAGAATGAGCCAATGCGAGGTTAGAATTTCAGAAGCAAAAGACAGGATTGCAATTAGTGATCAGGAAAAGAAAAATAATAAGGGACTAAAAGAAAGCAATCCTGCAGCTGCTAGATAATGCAAAGAAGAATAACATCAGACTGATCAGAGTCAATGAAGAAACAGGAGATAGTGCAAATGACATAAAACAAAGACTTTTCAAAGAAATAATGGCAGAATACTTCTGAAGCAGAGGAAAATAATTTGACATACAGATAAGTGAGGCATATAGGACTCCAACTAGCTATGATAAAAAAAAATCTACACCTAGGCATAGAATAGTCAAGATTCCAGAAACTCAACAGA